GCTTGGCTTTGAAGCCAAGAACCACAATAGACTGAGTCCACGGAGGACACATTTAACCCTTCTGTGACGCATTTTCTCAACAATAAGTGGTGATAAGGGGCAGCTATTGCTGACAGGAGCATTAGCAGATATAGTGTAAACTAAAGCATTGCACCCCACTAGGAGCTGTCCTGGGTGCTGGTGTTGGTATCAGCTATTACTAAAGAGTATGACAGGACAATAACTACTTGGGGTACTGAAGTTGGACTAGCAGGGGTCAACCCCAGTTATAGTACCTGCTAGTTTTGTAGCTGTGGCATTTAATCTTGTTAAACCTTAGTTTCCTCATCTGTAAAGTGAAACAACAGCTCTGCCTCCTAGCATCATGCTGACCATTGCAGGAGATACTAACCTGCTCCTTGGAACACTGAGCACCCTGCCCAATGCAACTGCCTGGGGCTCATCATGCAGGGTTAGACCACATGCCCCAAGGACTTCTCGTGGTTGGAGTGACCATCAACTCCTAAATGGAGCAAGAAGAACCCCTGTCTTTCAGATGCAGCACTAATTGTTTTCTTTTTTTCTCGATGGAAGCTTTCTATTCTCAGGGTATTTAAAGGAGCAAGCCCTCCGTTGAAGCAAATTATAAGGGAACAAATGCAGGGCCATTACTAAAAACATCAGCACTGCATGCAGGGTTGGGCTGAAGGAGAAAACAGTCCATACTTCATGGAGCTAACTCCTTATCTGTTTAATTGATATGCTTTACTTCTTTGAATAAAGACAATTCTGGCTGGGTGTGGTGGCCCACACCTGTAATCTCAGCACTTTGTGAGGCCAAGGCGGGCAGATCAAGAGGTCAGGAGTTTGAGACCAGCCTGACCAACATGGTGAAACCCCATCTCTACTAAAAACACAAAAATTAGCTGGATGTGGTGGCATGCACCTTAGTCCCAGCTACTCAGGGGGCTGAGACAGCAGAATCGCTTGAACCTGAGAGGTGGAAGTTTCAGTGAGCTGAGATTGCAACACTGCACTCCAGCCTGGGCAACAGAGCAAGACTCCACCTTTTAAAGAAAAGGCAATTCCTTCTCAGCAGAGGCTAAGCCCAGCAGCCAGCAAGTTGGCAGCAAAGATTACTTAAGGATCAGGTAAAATTTGAAATTACAAAGCGAGAAGCTTGGCCTCATCTGGCGATCCCAGAAAAAGAAGGTCATGCCCAGTAAGGAGCTCCTACATTTGAAGATGCTGCACTTTCCTGATGCCTTTCAATCTAACACTGCCCCGGGGAAATCTCTTGTTCTATCTGCACTGAGATTTGATATCTATAACTCCTGATGCGGAAGTCTTGCCTCTGTCAAAACCTCTAAATCTTCACAGTCCACGGGTCATGATAGCTAGACGTCTTAACCTGCCAGCTGGCGTCTGGGAGACCTGGGTGTTTTCCATTCTGTTACACCACAAAGCTGGTGCTGTTGTCACAGCACAGAATGGTTGGTTTTTTTGCTTGCTTTTTTACAGTCACGATAACAGTGCCAACAACCTTTTCCAGGACTGGGCCTATGGTAAGGAAAGTGAATCACTCACCTTGGGTACTGAATACCTCTTGCTGAGAAGCCAAGAGAAATAATATCCCTATGATATGATCAGACAGACAGATAGTATAGAATAGATGATGATAGATGGTAGGGATAGATAGATAGATAGATAGATAGATAGATTAGAAGATCAGACAGATGAAGATAAGATTGCATAGAGATGTTATTTTATATACATTATTTTTTCAATTTTTTTTTTCCTGAGACAGGGTCTCACTCTGTCACCCAGACTGGAGTGCGTGGCACGATCTTCACTCACTACAACCTCTGTCTCCTGGGTTCAAGTGATTCTCATGTCTTAGCCTCCCGAGTAGCTGGGATTACAGGTATGTGTTTATCACACCTGGCTAATTTCTGTTTTTAGTAGAAATGAGGTTTCACCATGTTGGCCAAGTAGCTGGGATTACAGATGTGCACCACTCATCCCTAGCTAATTTTTCTATTTTTCGTAGAGACGGGGTTCCACCATGTTGGCCAGGCTGTCTTGAATCCCAGCCACATGTGACCTGTCTGCCTCAGTTTCCAAAGTGCCAGGATTACAGGTGGTAGCCACTGTGCTGACCCTATGCAATATTTTAAAAAGTCAAAGTCAATCTAAAATAACTTAAGATGATTGAAGTAGCAAAATGTAAATAAACACAGGTATCTGACGCCGCTGGTATTTGGCAGAAGTGAGTTAGGTAGGTCATTCAAGTGGAGGGTGGGGTCATGTCTTTATTTTAATTTTGATAATTTTGTTCCTCATGAAATGATTGATCTTTTAAATTTTATAAAATATGGCAGGCCAGGCACGGTGGCTCACACCTGATTCCCAGCACTTTGGGAAGCCAAGGCGGGCAGATCACGAGGTCAGGAGATCGAGACATCTTGGCTAAAACAGTGAACCCGTTTCTACTAAAATACAAAAAAAAAAATAAAAAAAATAACTGGGCACGGTGGCAAGTGCCTGTAATCCCAGCTACTCGGGAGGCTGAGGCAGAAGAATGGCGTGAACCAGGGAGGCAGAGCTTGCAGTTGAGCTGAGATTGCACCACTGCACTCCAGCCTGGGCAACTGAGTGAGACTCTGTCTCAAAAAATAATAATAATAATAATTTGCCATTAACAGTATTATTTATCTAGGTTGCTGAGGTTTCTGACTTCTTCAATTTTATTCCCAAATCCTCACCCTAAATATGGGGCTGCCACCACTGTGACCACAAGGGCTAAAACAGCTAATGTCAAATGAGCACTTACAATTGAGAAATAAAAATAAAATCCTAGGCCCCCTAACCAAGTGTACAGACCCCCTCTTGGCCAAGGAGACCCAGAAAATCCTTAAAAACTGAGTTCCCAGCCTGACCACCATCTCTGGACTGGTTTTGGCCAACTCACAGAGCATGTGTAGTCAAAGCTTTCACGTCTTCTGCTTCACCTTTTGATGTCAGAGGTTTCAAAACTTTAAAAACTCCACCCTTGGATTATGCTAATGCTGCCATTTTTTGAACACATGACCCATGATGAGGCATGAAACTCAATTTCCCATGCACATGTTTCTCCTTCCATAAAGATTCATGACTTCTCCTATAGCTTTTTAAATGCATGCATTTGGCCAGCCTGCTCAGCATAAATCCTGCTGCTTCTACCCTCCCCTTGAGGCACTTGCTCTTGGTTTCTGCCGGAGGCTATGCTTCCCAGCCTGGGGGATGGACAGCCTGCAAGTGCAATCCTATGTGAGAAATAAAGATCTCCTTTCCAAGTCTGTGGGCCTGAGACAGGATAGGCAATCAAGGAAGTAATCATGTTCTCGGGATACAGCAATTATCCGTAGTGACAGTAAGGACAAGCAACACAATAAGCCTCAGCATTCACATTATAATTAAGCTCATCCATGCAAAGCTATCTTCAGTAGGGACTTTCCCCTCTAGAGAGCATGTGCAGTTTGATTCTGCCCAACCTCAAACTGACCCTTTGCTCGTAATAGTAAAAAACATACCCCTTGGTGGAGATTTAAGATGCTAATGAGACATGTGACATATGAACAAGTATGTACAGCTACTGCACATGTGCACCCAGAGGACCACTCAGAACATGCTTATGAGTAATGCCTCTTCCCACCTCCTTATGAATAATCATGTAAGGCTCCCATAAAGGGAGTCTCCCTAGTGCTGGTCTTTGCTGTCTCATCCTTACGAGCAGCCCACCCTGAATCCTCTCTCTCTCAGGTGTACTGTCTGTTCTGCCCCTAACTTTCAAAGTATTCTTTTTCTTTTGCAATAAATTACACGATGCTGCATCTCCTTTGCTGTGTGTCTCTTGTTTAAATTATTTTCAACCAAGAACTGAGGTATCACAATAGCCACACTCTGTCATTCTTCAGTTGATACAAAGTACCAGGCACTGATGGGAGCATTTTGCCTGCAGTTGTCACAGTAATAAGCCTGTAGGGTCATAGTTTTTATAGTCTCTTGTTAACTTTAGGAAATAAAAGGCCAGAGAGGTTAAGAAACTATCCCAAAGTCACACAGCTGAGATGGAATTCTCACCCCAAGGCCTGGCTTCTGAACTTTCTCTCCTAGTGACAATTTTATGTCACTTCTTCTATCAGATGAGGCATGTTATGTCCAGCCAGGCCTCAGGAAGAGACACGGGGACACATTTGGCCCCAAGTGTTGGTGGGGAAGGTGTTTAGTCTGCAGCAGCACAGAGACCACGAGAGATAAGGGAACACACTCTGGGGAGCACCAATGACAGTGGGAAGGGAATGAGGGTGTGGGTCTATCTGTCCCCATACCAGCACTCAGGCACTTTCTTCTTAGAGTTAAATACTATCACTACCAACAGCTCAAACAGCTCCAGCCCCAGCACATTTGTTTTGACAGCCAGAGAGCTTCCCTGCCTATTCTGGGTTTGAGATTATACCCCCCTTTCTCTCAGGCCAGCCTCCCTGGCTTTGGGAAACCACAGAGCCACAGAGCTGCTTTTAGACATGCCTTATCACTCACATGAGAATAACAGTGCTCGATTGCATTCAAAAAGCACTTTCCTAGTATTTTTCAACTGAGTGCCACGTTCTTTTTATGTATCATATCACTCAATTTTAACAAATCCTTGACACCATTTGTATTTTTGTCATTACTGTGGAGGTGTCTGACCAAAAAACTCACGTCTTAACGAGCTGGTCCCACACAGTCCACTTCTTCCATGCATTTCATACTTTTCAACACGCAGTTGTTTGTAAATGAGCAACTGAGATTCCACAAGTTGAAGTCACCTGCCCATGGTCAATAGGACAGTCAGTGCCATGCTTAGACCCAGAACAGGGGTTTTCTGATTTTCAAAACCACTCCTTTACACTGGCTGGCCATCACTCTTCCTTACATTGAGATTAACCATTGAGATGAGCAGAATAGACCCATGCAGATGGTTATGAAGTCTCACTGACCTGTGGTCCAGCTATTCCTGGGGGCCCTGGTAGGCCTGGAGGTCCAGGCTCTCCCTATATCAGGGACACAAGGAAAAAAACGGAAACAAGAATGAGTATCTGGCCCACATCCAGGGTCATCACCAAGCCATCACCCTCACACCTCCATTCACTGATTTTCCACTGGGACTTCCTGGCAGCCACCCCTGCCCCTAGCCTGTCTGAGCAAAGGCTATAGGCAAGTTGCAGTACTGAGTGTGGCTGTGCAACCATGGCGTGACCCACCATTGATGTGGTTAGTTGGTGTGTCTCCAAGATGACGTGATGGCCCCTGCCTCCCATATTTGCAACCTGAAGCAGCCGTCCTGCCATTTGTTCCACGGTTGGTCTATATGGCCAACAGGACATGACAGAAGTGATGGTGTGTACTTGCTGAGATTAAGATTAGGGTATAAGATGGCTCACTCCCACCCTGGCCTGCCACACCCCTGCCCCGCCCCCTCCAGCTTGCACTTTTTCTATCCAACCACTCATTTTGGGGAAAACCAGTTTCCACGTCTTGATCTCACTCAAGCAGCTCTGCAGAGAGGCCCATGTAGTAAGGAACTGAGGTCTCCATCAACAGCCACAAGAGTGAACCTGGTTGGAAGGGGATCTTCTACCAGATGGACCCTGAGATGACTGAAGCTCAGGGCTTGAGGGTTGCCTCATGGAAGACCTGAGCCAGAACAACCCAGCGAAACCACTTCTGGATTTCTGCCCCAGAAATTTGAGATAATAAATATTTGTTGTTTTAAGCCACTCAGTTTTGGAGCAATCTGCAATGTAGTGATAGATAACTAATATAGTTGAGAAGAGAGAAAAAGTGTGCTGCACTAAGAAATAGAGTCTGAATTATGTAGCATCTCATTTGTGTGTGTGTGTTTGTGCTTTATAAATATATGTACATGTATAATTACACTGGCGCATATTGAGCGTTCTTTGTAGTTATTTTCATAGCCATTTTCTTATGGTTATTTTCACTTCAAGCTCTGTAATACCTGGAGTGTCAGCTGCTTGACTCTGAGAAAGGACCACCCAGGTGGGAGGGTGGGGGTTCTCGGCTCCCCGCCAGGTCCTGCCAGGGGTCATGGAGCATTGAGTGGTTCTGAACATCAGAATCACTGTGTAGTAGTTGCAGTAAACACACAGAATACAAACCTCATTCCCAGTGATTTGAAGTAAAGCAACTGTGGTAGAAAGGTCTGGAAAAGACTGATCTAAACACTTCCCTAAGTGATTCAGAAATGCCACCCTGACAGCCTCTGCACTGATATCAAGAATCTTTGAAGTCAAGACTCCTGGAATAAACTCCTAAAGACCCATTTATCTTAATGAACTAAATGATCTTCCGAGCTGTTTAAAATTAAGGCAATGGAAAAGGCTCATGACATGGATGTAAGAACATTCAAACATGTTTATTTACTATCTGATAAAATATGATACAAGAAATGCTGCAAATCAAATAAATGCCTGTTTTTAATAAGTTGATCACCAGGAGAATTTAATTAGGTGAAATTATTCTTAGTCAAATTAGCTTTAGGATTGGCCTCTGTCCCTTCCAGGGTTCTGGAGTGTATGGAGAAATTTCGAGGACTGTGGCACACCCGTGGGGTCTATGCTCAAATAGCCTGCGTAGCTGAATCGGTGGAAAGGGAACAAGCGCTGCTTAAGTCTCAGAGAGTCAGAATAAAGGTCATCTTTCACATTTGTGTTTGTATTCCCTGTACCATGTATGGGTAAGATACAAACTACAAATAAGAGGCTTAATTCTCTCTTTTTTGAAAAGAAAGAGAATCTCACCTAAGTCTTTTTCTTAAAGCATTTACTTTAGAAAACGGATCATTGTCAGTTCTTTATCTGTCTCTTTGAAATGTGTGTAAATCCTTTTAAAAGGCAAAGAAGACTTTTTTTTTTTCTTTCCAGTTTGATGACCCAGGAATGTCTTTCTCTAGGAGTTAGGATCCATCTCTGTGAAATATGATCAGCAAGGAAGATCCACCTCTATCTCCCAATTTCTAGGGGATGGCATCTCCCCAAGTTGCAACACTACCTTCTTACATAAACATGCAAGAAGTTTATTTTCACTTTAGATAAAGCCAATTAGCTAAGACAGAGGGCCATCTGAATTACCAGGTGAATCTAAGATGAACATATGTGACAAACAGCACTGTCAAGACCTCCTACTTGAGGACTAATTATTGCTTACCTTGAGAAAATGTCAGTAATGGACTTTATCTGCTTAGCTATACAAAAGAGTGAGATTTCTTCCTGTCCTTACCATCTCTTAACAGATTGTCTGTAATGCACGTTATATTCAAGTTTAAATTTAATTCAATATTAAAATGGTTTTCTTTCTCTTCTACCTTTGTGAAGAAGTTTTCTGGGTTGGGAGGAGATTTTGTTTTTAATTCTATTTCCCCGGCACCCATGAAACTCCCTACTTCTGTTTTGCCCCAGGACAGACCATGAACTCCTTTAGAATAGAGTCTCAGCCTTTTTCTTCTGAACCTCCCCATTGTCTACATGTTGACTGACACATAAGACACACGTAATGGGGTGTCATAAACAGGCAATGACAAGGGATTGAATGCATGCATGAATGGACGGATCCATTGATTGATCTATGAGTCTGAAGTGCCTATGTTGGTGCCTATTACATAGTAGATAGGCAAAGTTGTTGGATGATAAAAGAAAGGAAGGGAGAAAGATGGGGAGGCAAGCAATGTAACTGAATGAGTATATGTTTCCAGGTGTCAGCATGTACTGAAAAGTCATAATCAACATCTTCTTAAAGTAACAAAGACCCATAGATACCCAGTTCTTACCATTTCCATAGCTGTGTCCCACAACTCCGTATTCCTCATCTATCTTGAATCTTGAACCCCTGAAACCCTGAACACCTTTGGAGGCAGCTAGGGCAATATGAGATCTCCAGAATGATATTTTCATTGTGATGATAAAAATCAAGTTTCCCCTTTTCTCCTTACCTTTTTCCCTTCTGTGCCTTCTTTCCCTGGCTTTCCTGGGAGACCTTTGTCCCCCTTAAAACCTGGTAGACCAGGGAGGCCTGGGGGGCCAGGAGGGCAGTCACTGCACACATCCTGAGAGTGGGGAGAGAGGGAGGGACAAGCAGAGAATGACTAGCAAACACAGTTTCAAAGCAAAGCAAAGTAGCCCCGGCTGCTACCTCTCCAGATGGAGATTTTGTTTTTAAATACCAGAGAAGATAGAAAAGCAAATAGGTGGACTGAGTCATGATCCAAATACTTTTGTGTCTAAACTTTGCATTTTCCCTTTCTTCACTGAAAGTTAGGTTTCGGCACTGACATGTCTGGATATTCCTCCATTTCCTCCTACTTCCACGCAGACTTCTGGAAGGATAGCCTGAGGAAATGATGTCAAAAATTCATGTAAAATGATCTGTGAGCATCTGAAAACATTAACAGAGCAGATTTAACACAAACATTTAGTATTACTAAAAATAGCATGCTCTGTCCCTGATGTTAGAGGCCAAGCTGGGAGCTGAATTCTCTGTTCTGAGTTTGCCCAAGCCAAGTGGTTTCTGAATAAGGAAGAAGGATAAACAAGGCGACAGGCACACACCCTTGGGACTTTGTTTCTGTGACACAATCCAGGTTCTGACCATGCTTAGCTTTATTTTTTACCCAAGGTAAGCATTTAATAAATGGTCCCTGGAGTTGGGCTTTGTTCTACTTCTTTATGGCAGGTAAATACTGCTCCTTGAGTAAATTTAAAGTCCTCTGAGCCCAGAGCATGTGTTTTCTGATTTGTCGGATCTTACAGTTTGGAGTACACTATGCGCTAAACAAAACTCACCTGACTGTACTCCAGCCTGCCTCCTCCACCTGCCTCGTGGTTTACCTCCTCCATGCCCTTCTCTCTAATTTTCCCTCTCATCCACCCTGCCTGTCTCCTTGTAATAGGAATTTAATGGATAACACAAGTAAAGCACTTAGAATACTCTCAAGAAAGATTAGATAGATGGATAGATAGATGATAGATAGATACACAGATACATAGATAGATAATGCCCACACATTTAGCCATTATTGTTAATTTATTTATTCACTCAGTCATTCACTCATTGAAAAAATACTTGAAAGGCACCTACTATGTGTCGGGCACTGTGATAAGTTTGGGACCACAGTGGGTGTGTGTCTTGAAGAGCTCTCAGTTCAACACTGTCAACTGACACAAGCACATGCACTAACTATGGTCTTTTGAAAGCCCTACCAAAGGGATCTGCAAAAATCTGTGCAAGCTGCACTGTTCACAGTCCATGAGGTGAAGCTGCAGGTGATTTTGTTTTCATCTTGGTCTCCGATTTCAGGATGGTAAAACTTTTCCATCACAAAAGCATCTCTGAATGGCCTACCTTCCTTTTACTTGTTTCACCTACTCAGTCTTTGGAGATTCTTTAGTAATCTCCCTCTCCAAGAAGCCTTCCTGATTGCCTGAGGATGGGGACAGGCTCCTCCTGCTCCCAGAAATCTCAGGAATCCTCACTACTGAAGTACTAATCTCCTTGTTGGAATGGTCTTTTATTCCATCCTCTCTCCACCAGGCAAACAGAAGGTATAAGCACTCAGAGGACAGAGGTAGAATTATCTTTATATGCCAAATTCATAGCAAATATTCTTCCACAGGGCATGAGTGCTATAAATGAATGAATCAGGCAACCCAACCAACTAACCAACTGACTGACCAACCAACCGATTAACTGTCCGCCTGACATTCTGGCGACTTGGGCCATCTTCCTTTAGCGGGTAGTTTACAAAGCTGATTGGGTGATTTGGAGGGTGGGAAGAGTTAAATATTGGGATATATAAAGCAAGAGTGCATGAGATATTCAGCTTAATTAGATGAGCTGCTTTTGATAACTGTGTTTTGCTTGGAAGAGTAGCAGAGCTGAAAGGAGCTCACCTCTTTGTAGACCTTCTCTTATTGTACTCTAAGATGAGATGCATCCATGAGACATTGCAACTGTGGATGAATGGATGGATGGATGGATGGATGGATGGATGGATGGATGGATGCAAATAGAACTAGCCTGATGACACCAAAAATTCTAGCCACTGAGATATTTCTGGACTTGAGCGTGCCCCGGTGATTGGAAGCCATTCTTTGCAGTGGGATCCATAACACAAAAAGATTATATCTGAGTAATACAAAAACTTCACAACTTTCCTATTTCTTTCTAATTTCTGGCAGGGTTCTCAACCTGGGCCTGTTGCACACTATGCAGGATTATTTCCTGAAGACCAGAACTGTCGGAGACACAGACCTACCTGTGAGGGAGCTAGACTCAACTCACTGACCCAGTTCTGGAATCCAGTGAGCATAGGGTGAGATCACCCCAATCTGCAGTCTTACAGATGTTCACCTTGGCTCCAGAGCTCCTGGGACCCCCCAGTCCCTCCTGGCTCTGCACCAAAGTCCAGTTCAGAGGGCAGTTCACACTTTCTCTGAATGTATTGAAACTGGATAGGGTTGTGTTTCCAACCAAATGGGCTTGCCCATACTCCACTTAAACCTCTGTCCACCTGGAATCATGGCTTCATCTCCCTGAGTCTCCTTATCTGTGAAATGGGGATGTCAAAGTCTTATGATAAATGAGACAATGAGTGGAAAATGCCTGACACTGTCCTGACACAGAGTGAAAACACAGTGACTTTCAGCTGCTACATGTGCCATTACGGGTTTGTTTCTTTTCCTCCCTAAATCTGTGGCCTTGTCCCATTTGCAGATCAGATGACCTTGATCATCAATACTAGCTCCCAATCTCTGGGCGTTCTGAGTTATCTCAGGCAAGTCAATTAATATTTTTGAGTCTATTTCCTTACCTGTAAACAAGGATCATTCTTCTACTTTAGGAGATTGTTGTGAAATTTAAATAAAATAATGCATACAAAGTGCCTAGGGTATTTCAGGGTTCATTGTATGTAATCTATAAATGTTCTTTCCTTCTGGTCTTCACCCGTTCCTCTGGTCTAAGATATTTTCTTTTCTTTTCCTTTTTATTTTATATTTTATTTTATTTTATTTTGAGACAGAGTTTTGCTCTGTCACTCAGCTTGGAGTGCAGTGGTGCAATCTAGGTTCACTGCAGCCTCCGCCTCCCGGGTTCAAGCAATTCTCCCAACTCAGCCTCCTGAGCAGCTGGGAATACAGGCATATGCTACCACGTCTAATTTTTGTATTTTTAGTGGAGACAGGGGTTTTCCCATGTTGGCCAGGCTGATCTTGCACTCCTGGCCTCAAGTGATCCACCTGCTTCTGCCTCCCTAAGTGCTGGGATTACAGGCATGAGCCTTCGCACCCTGCCGGGCTAAACTATTTTCAACAAACTCAGCTTGTTATGTCATTGCATGTAATACTGTACTTTGCGTGGTGTGAAGTACCAAGTAAGCACTCAACAAAATGCTGACTACATGGAGGAATGCTACAGTCTTTGGTGTGTAGAAAAAAACAGTCGTTGCTTCCCAGGAGAAATGATCCACCTTCTCACTGGACATCTGAATCCCCGCTACTATATTTCTATCAAAGAGTTGCGTAGACTTCATCTCCAAATCTCTATGTGACAGGCAGAGAACTCACTAGCTGCCTGGACTTCATCAGACAGTTGTCAGGAAGTTCTGGCTCATGTAAAGATGAAATCGGATAGTACAGAGGCTACGCATAAGGCTTCAGAGTTGGTCACACTGGGTTTGAGTCTTGGTTCTGCCACTAGCAGGTCTGTGACGTTGAATAAGTGGTTTGCCCATCTATGCCTCAACCTCTTCATCTGTAAAATGCAGACAGCAACAGAATCCTCTCACAGGATTGTTTGTGAGGATTTAATGAAATAATATTTCTGCAAGGGAGTCAGGTAATGGAGACAATTTTAAGAGGACCTCCTTGGGAACGGATCCAACTATGGACATTCATTTAACAGGAACTCTTAGAATTTACTACCCAGTAAGTTCTCTAACTATCAGAAAGAGATGTATGAAGTTATAAAACTCTCTGGGGCAGGGACAAATATTCCGTAATATAATCTCAGCAGGGGAGACACCTGCCACCCAGCCACCTAGACCAGACCAGCAGACTCTAACTTACAACATCAAGATGGCAGCCAGTGAGTGCACAAAACAGGGAGATGAAGATAGTCTGCTCCCCAGACCTGGCCAAATCCACTCATCCCAGGCTGTCGACTACGGAATTTCCAGGCTAAGCTCAGCTCTGTGACACCAGTGAGACTCCACAGGCCACCCTGCATGTAGGCGCTTTCATTCATTCTGGGGTTTCCAGCTGCTCCGATAAGCAGAGCTGCATACTTTCATAGTGAGGAAATACCGATTTGACTAAATATCTGCCTCAGTGCTATGGCCATGAGGAATGATGCTTAGCCATTTCAATGCTCACTCTTATTATTGACATAAAGATTGGGACATCTTGAGGTTGAAATCCTCTGGGTGAGGCGTGAAGGGTGGAGAGGGCTGGTGGCTGATGAAAACCCAGCTCCTTCTAGAGTGAGGGAATTAAGAAAAATAATCCAGGCTAATAAAAGCCTGTAATAAACAAAAGATGGAATCAATAGATAATGATTTCTTGTCATGTCCTTGACGGTGGGGAAAAAAAAAAAAAAATCTATCGCACTTGTCAACAAAAACTGGTAAAGATTGTTCTGCTACTTATTTTTTAATAAAATGTGTAATTTTCCCATCAAGGCATCTCAATTTGCAATGAGACTGAACACCCCAGACTCCCAAGAAGGTTTTCTTTTTCTTTTGTTTTCTTCCCTTGGCTTCATGCATGAAGTAGGGATTTTCTGAAATCACCCAAGTGTCTTTTAGAGAACAGGAAGGAAGGAAGGCACTAGTCACATAAAATGCAGTGCCAACCCTTCACCTGGAGTTACGACAGAGGCTTCAAGTACAGGCAGCAGAAGGGGCCTCCTCACTCACTGTAGCACGCCGGTTCTTTCTGAAGTACGGACCCTACCTCTCTCTCCCTCGTTCAGAACCTTTCCCAGCTCTCAACATTGAAGACCCCAGGTCCTTGGTCAGGCACCTGGACACCTGTGCAACTTGGCTTTCAGGCGTAACTCCAGCCACGCCCTGCCCTATGTTGGCCAAGTTATGTTCAACCTCTTAGGACCTTTTCCTCTCATGGGGAAAGCAAATGTGGTTCTAGAAACCTGTCAAGTCTGCACTCAGATCTGGGTTTGTCCTGGTTAAAAGGCCCAGCAGCCCACGTCACCTCACTGAGCCTGTGCTCTGGTCTTGGCCCAGCAGGACCCAGGTCCAGGCTGTTTGACTCTGCCACCGGCCCTCCTTTGAGAACACAAGTTAGTCCTGGGTAGGTTAAAGGCCAGCCTCTGGTGTCAGCAAGGAAGGATTTTATTCTTAGGATGTCCTATTCTATTCCATTCCATTCATTGACTCTCACAGTATTTCAGCCCTCTTATATGCTAAACAACACAACACATAGTATTAACCCCATAGAATATTTGTGAAAATTAAATAAGGGAGGCACATTAAACATTTAGTACATCGCAGCTCCAGATAATATTCTGCTCTACATCTACAGTGATCAATAAGGCAGCCACCAGCCACATGTGGCTATTAAGTGTGTATAAAGAGGTTGGTGTGATCAAGCACCTGAATTTTTAGTTGCATTTATTTATTTATTTATTTATTTTTGAAACAGGGTCTTGCTCTGTCACTCAGGCTGGAGTGCAGTTGCATACCCATGGCTCACTGCAGCCTCTACCTCCCGGGCTCAAGCGATCCTCCTACCTCAGCCTCCTGAGTAGCTGGGACCACAGTCACATGTCACCACGTCAAGCTAATTAAAAACACAAAAAATTTGGGTAGAGACCAGGTCTCTCTATGTTGCCAAGGTTGGTCTTAAGTTCCTGGGTTCAGGGCTCAAGCAATCCCCGCAACATGCTGGGATAATAGGGGTGAGCCGCTGTGCCCGGCCTGTATTTAATTTTAATTAATTTAAATTTAGATTGAAGCATGTGGCCAGTGGCTGTTGTATTGGACAGGTGGATTTAGCACATCACCAGCCACATGGTGATTTCTCAACTAATGGTGCTGCTATTATTATTAATACTACCAAATAGTTGTTAAGACAAAAAAAAAAACCCAACTTATTATCAAGATCTCCAATCCCACCATCACCATTTTCAAAACACATGCACATTTATTGTATGCTTTTACCTTAGCCAAGAGATTTATGTCCCCTGGAGACAGTAGTGAAGAGAGGCCCTGTCAAAGTAAAAACAAACACCACATACATACACGCATATATACAGTAAATCCCAGGCATCTTGAGAAAGCAAAAGGCCTTCAAAGTGTGACATAATGCGTGGCACACTGTGCCATGCATGGGATACGGACAGCCAGTGGATGTCCTAAGCCTAGGAGCCACAGAAATAAGACTCCTCCAAGACAGCAACTGCACAGCCTGCCATTTGTAGCCAAGTCTGACTGACTTCAGCCTTTTTCCTTCCCTACTCTCCTTCTGTTTGCCCCTTCTCTTCTCCCACTGGTCCCTCTTCCCCACCACAATCAAAACCTGATAGGTCATATGAGCACTGTGGGAGGCAAAGTGGCAAACTGTTGGCAATCTGGATGGTCGTGGATGTCTCAAATGAGCAACAGCTGTTATTATCAGTCATTCACAACCTAGTATGAATTTAAGCCAATGTCTTCAGCTCTCCCAGGTGAAATAGCACTTTAAACTTCACTTGTCATTATGGGTTAAAAGTCTTTAATTCCAGAAAGGGTATTTCAGAAATCAGGAGTAATTACAGAGCCTCTAAAGGTATGTAGGAGTCTGCAGGCGGCTGAACTCATGCTCAAACGCACTGTGAGTTGGAACTACGGACTGTGTCTCACAATCACGCCATCCTGGAACCCAAGACAGGGTGGAGGCTCAGAAAATATTTGGGTGCAGGAACATAAGTTTAGGAAGGAAAATGGGAATGAAAAGGCAGACCCTAAAGGAAAGAAAGGATTCTTAGGTAGGACTTCCAGATTGGTGTGCTACTTTGCAAAATTCTAAATTTTACAAAGAAAAAGGAACACCAGAGGACCCAGGCAGCAGAGACAAGGTGGTAGACTTAACAACTAAATGCATGGTGGGTGATTTCTCCTCATTAAGTTTGAGTTTAGGTGTACAAATTATGAATCCAGTCTGTCATTTTGGGGAGGCTGAAACCAAGGCAATTGTTCAGGCTATTTCCCCATCCCTGACCCCATGGGCTTTCTGTCCCATCCTGTGGTTAGCAAAACCATGAAACAGGTAACACAAGTTCGCTCAAGGTAACTGCCACAGTGGCTTGAAACGTGCTGGTGGTGTTTCCTGTGTTGATATGATCAGAAATTCAATCAATGCTCTGGGCTATTGCAAGACGGGATTCCCTGAGAGAGACCGGGGTTGAATTAAATCAGATTGGAGGTGCTCAAGGAATTACCCACACTGCAGTAAGAACTTACATAGGATGCAGCTGCTAAAGTCAAGGCCAAGACCTGCCCCACCTCCATCCTTAATTATCTGAGTGAGGTCCTCTGAAGAAAAGGCAACCTTGCTATAGTAATTTATTAAAACTTTTAAAAGGGAAAGGTGTTTTATTTTGAAGCCGCATTTGTTTCCCCTGGGAAGTTTAATAATAGGAAAGGGTTCATATGGTTCAAATTGGTACATTGTAATGCTGCTGGCATTGTATTACTAGGGATATTCTTTTTTTTTTTTTTTTTTTTGAGACGGAGTCTTGCTCTGTCACCCAGGCTGGAGTGCAGTGGCCGGATCTCAGCTCACTGCAAGCTCCTCCTCTCGGGTTCACGCCATTCTCCTGCCTCAGCCTCCCGAGCAGCTGGGACTACAGGCACCCGCCACTTCGCCCGGCTAGTTTTTTGTATTTTTTAGTAGTTCAGGACCCTCCTTTTGTCTCCTATCCTTCCCAGTATGGTCTCGATCTCCTGACCTTGTGATCCGCCCGTCTCGGCCTCCCAAAGTGCTGGGATTACAGGCTTGAGCCACCGCGCCCGGCCTACTAGGGATATTCTTACACTGCCATTGAGCCTTTAGCATAATTAGGGTGAGTTATATCAGACACAATGGCTAGGCACCAGTTACAAAGGGAGAGAGAACGAGGAGTGGATTTTCAGTCTAGGTACAGTGTGGTCTTGGATACAATTTCATTAATATCTTGCTGTGACTCATTTCTGCAAACCTCATAAGTCTCAAAAGACACACAGAACCAGCATGTGGATGGAGGCAGTGGCCTTGTGAAGGTGGACTCAGGATACGGCAGACTGCCATCTCTGCCTTCTATGAGTCAGTCACTCATGTCACCTGTTGTTGGGCCCAGTGGGCTCAGAGAACAGTGGACAGCATGGGGATGTAGATGTCAGTTTACATCCTACCTAGATCCTCCCCATTCTTGGTGCATCCTTACCCCTGGCGCTGGTTACACAGCCGATAACTGACCGATGGCAGGGTGAAAAGAGCTGGGCCTGGCCTCAAAGTGGGACAGCTTTGTGGTTCCATTCACAGTCCAGAGTTCCATGTGGGATCAGGCAGGGACTAGGCTTGACTTGAACCCACATTTTTGTCTGTTTTTTCCCCTGTCATGTCCTGCTTCCCTCCATCCTTGTAAGTTTCTCCTGAGAGCACTCCCTCAGTCAGTCACTAGCGTAAGAATCCCCACTGCAGGCTGTGCTTCCAGAGAACTCAATCTGACACAGAAGGAAGATCCTGGAACAGGAATTCTATGCTTCTCTCCAGGTGGGTGCAGCACTGGGGAAACACTTTGGGTCACTCTCTCCACCCTCTGAGGGATGGAGCTGTGTAATTAAGAATTAGCTCAGCAGGCCAGTGTTGTCCAAACCCTGCACATTCCAAAGAAATGTCCAGTTGCTGCCTGCTTCCTGGGAATTACCTCTATGCCCTTAGAATGTCCTGCCTGGTAAGAGTGTCTTTGTTTACCTGTGTTCTTGGGTCCAGCCAGGTAGTTAATGCTAACAATGTGATTTATGGTGGGTTCCTTGGACACACACCTCAGTCTGACCTCCAGAGAGGATGAAGACTCAGTAATTAAGATCAGCCATGTGGGCACTCCATGCCTGGGTGACTGACTCCCAATATAACCCCTAGACACCAAGGCTCTGGTGAGCCTCCACGGTTGCAACACCTTGTGAGTATTGTCACACATTGTGACTGGGAGAATTGGTGCTGTCTGTACAACTTCACCGGGAGAGGACAAATGGAAGCTTGTACTGCTCTTTCCTGGACTCCTTCCTGCGCACCTTTTTCTCTGTTGATTTTAATCTGTATCATTTTACTGTAATAAACCACTGCCATGAGCATAACAGCTTTTCTGAGTCCTGTGAGTCCTTCTATGAGTCACTGAACATGAGGGAATCCCTGAGACAACTATGCCTTATTTGATTAGTGAGCTCAGAGAGACCTGAGAGCCAATGGGCCATACTTGGGACCATCCAGGAGCAGTATGTTCAGTGAATCTAATAGATCTTATCGCTTCTCTCTTCTTCTCTCTTCTCCCTGTCTCTCTCCCCTCAGCTCTCCGTTCTGCTGCTGACCACCTGAGAGATAATCACGATTATCCACACTGTCAGCTGCATTATGCTGACTTAACTATCTTTGCAGGGAGATGTCAAAGTCCAGATCTGGCAGAGGTCATCTGAACCCCCACTTGACTTCTGGTCTGAACCTCACTCTCCCTGCACTTCACCAGAGCTTTGTACTTTGATAATGAAGTGGCCTCTGTGAGGTTTATTTGGCTCTTGCAAAGCTGACTCCACAGGGGAGGAAACATGAGTAATTAAGGTGTCCCTAACTTCCAACAAGACTTTATACTCCTCTCATTGGAAGATCTTCAATGGAAAGTTTCAGGACCCTTAATGGCAGACCAGGATCCCTGTCCAGGTCTCTGCCGTACCCGCCAACTGAGATAAGGGATGGGGGGTCACCCACACCCACAGGGACATCTGTGCCTTGGGTCCCTGTCTGGAAGTTGTCGCAGGCCAGGCTTGCAAAAGAGACAGGTAACCTCTCAGATCCATCTCAAGGTGAAGCTTCTGCCCAGGTGAGCATCTTGCTTTCTGAAACCAGACTTACAGCCTCACCCTTGAGGCCTGCGATTCCCCAGTATTGGTTGCTGCTGTCTCTTTCATCTTAGGCAGCTTCTTCCCCAGGACTCATCTCTCTCCCCATTGCACAGCCGCCTCCCACTCTCCCAGGCCAGCGCATCTCCAGTGCTCCTTCCCTAGAGGGTCCACCTATGACCAGGCTACTCAGCTAAACCTTTGAGGCTTCTCTGGCATTAGAAACTCAGTCAGAGGGTGTCCCAGGAGATGAGGGTGCCTTGCATCAGGGAAGCCTATAGGACTCTCGGGCTGGACTAAAGCCACATTGCCACAAACCCAACATTCAGGGTTGTCCCTGTCTCCTCAATCTTTCACAAATTCCCCTGTTCTCATTGTGAGGCAAGAAAGAACATTTCTTCCATGTTAAACAGAGGGCAACTGGGAAGGCTGACATCACCCAGTCAAGTGCTAGGAAATGGGCAAGTCAGGGATTTGCAATGGGTGCTGCTGTTGCTCATTTGCTCACCCCAGATCGACTTTTCACCATTCTCTGTCCTGTTCCATGCCTAGGAGGTTAAACCCCTGGAATGTATCCCAGGCTGGCTTGCCTGCTGGCCCACAGTTGAATTCCCCAATTTGAGGCACTGTCAGGAAACCGGAGGGTGGGAGACATCCCTACCTCCTGGCCTCGGACCAAACCTTCTGCAGCAGTGTTGAACCCACGACTGAGCTCCTGTGTGCAATCCTTCTCTCACCATTCCACTCTCCCTGGGCTTTGAAAACAGGCATAATGGTGGTAATGACTTCCCACTATGGTTTATCTCCGGGTCTTACAACATCCCATATTAGTTTCCTCTGCCCACAGTTTTGTCAAAGGTTCCTTTGTTAAAACCTCTTGAACCTTCTGAGTTGCATTTTTTATCTTGCTTACGCCCTGACTGATAGTCAATATTCATCCAGAACCATAAAATGACATACTGGCTTGCCAGGAGGCCCTCTTTCTCCTGGATTTCCTGGTGTACCCTAAGAGAAGAAGGAAAGAAAACATTAACTGTGGTAAGCACACAGTCCTGACCCACTCTACCCACAGCCTCTGCCAACCTCTCTATCTGCTAAGTGTAATTCAGTGGGAAAAAAATCATCAGACCATGAGGATTGGCACCAGTAAAAATGCATGGTTTCCAATCTCAGCTGAATACCCAAGGCTTCCCAGGAAGAATCTGACAATGGCAAATGTTTAGAACTACCCCCATAACTCCTGTCCTAAACACAAAACTAAAAACAACTCATGCACACAGAACATGTGTATGCACGCACACATACACACAGACACACACACACATACACACAGACACACACACACCCTGTCTGAAATTTTCCCAGTGCTTTCCCAAACACAAATGGAAAGAATGGCTTTGAAAAGTAGAAAAATACGTCTATTAGACTGGCTATAAGAATTAATGCTGAGAGTGGAACAGTGAAATTTGAATATTTGGAAGCAGGAATGAGAGAGTAACCTTCTCTTTGGAAACAGAACCCAAGGAAGAGAAGGGAATATTGTTGTTCCTGCTTATAATGAACTAAAACTATAGAGATGAAAAGATGTATGTCTAAGCAATAAATATCACTGCTTACTAGTGCCAGACACCTTTGTCCTATAAGGACTCATGGTTGTCATTTACCATTTGGTCGATGAGTATGGATCAAGTACCTTCTATGTGCCTGGCATGCTGCTAGGCACCAGGGACCATGAGGATGCATAAGACACAGGGGCTCCTTTTTAGAGCTCAGAGATGGCTGGACAAAGGCCAAACAATGGAGATACGAGATGACTGTCATTGTCACAAAGTGGGAAGTAACCCATCTGCACAATGAGCATCACGTACATCTGTGGAATTCCACGGAAAAGAGAGAGCCATTCCAGGGAAGGGTCGGGGGGACAAGTCCCTGGAGAAGGTAGTGCCTGATTCGAGCAGAACTGACTGGGGTATGTAAGACTTTGATTAAGAAATTAGGGAACATTGTGTGGGATACCCAGGAGTTGAAAAGATTTTGAAAACTTAACACAAATAAACACAGGAAATAAAACTGGATAATAGAAAATTACGAGCCACACTCAATTGAACAGCAAAAATAAAAAGCATGCCCATGGGGCTTCCTGGAAATCCTCAACCGGGCTACGAAGTTGGCCACATGGTCAAAGGAGGCCAGGAGATGGTGGAGGGTGGGCTTTCAGGGGTCATGTAAGGGCCTTCACTGAGTCCACGCCATTTCTCTGTACTTACATCCCGGCCGGCTGGGCCCTGGGGGCCGGGGAATCCAGGTAAGCCTCGTGATCCCTGAAGAAAAAGAAAAGAAGACACTGACACCCCACAATATCGTAAGCAAATAAGGACACTCCCTCCTTGGCAATAGTTGGCTCTCCTTCGACACGTGGTCTGTTGCTATGAGGAATCTGATGTAACACGTGCACCAAAGCACCCTGCTCAGAGCCTACTCAACTGACGGTACCACGTGGGGGTACGTGCTCAACACACAGAGAGAATGCTCTGGAAAACCTTCATTTTGAGGCTGACAACTTGGACCCCATTTGTATAATTCCCTTGCTTGAGTGAAGGGGACAGCTCCTGCGGTGAGATGGGCCTGAGCTCAAACGCTGGCTCACTCCTTTCGTGTCCTATGGATAACCAGCCCCAAGAGCTGCTAACCAGGTGGTTAAAGAAGTTTCCTTATGCAAGACCCAGCACAATACTGAGCACATGCCCAGCGATTACTACTCTTTGTAAGAAAATAATTTCTAGCTACAAATTTCTGGACAACATCAGGAAATGACACACGTATCTTTCAGTATGGATCTCATTTCCTATAAGATTTTTCCTTAAGTAGGTCTAAAAGTGGGAATTCCTGGCAGTTGCTGGAACTGTGCTACAGGGCTGCTCAGAAGCTGACCCTGTGTCTCCTGGGCCTTCACAGACCTCCTCTCACACCAACCCCTCCATCTAGAGTCCCACCTGTTTGCCTCTGCTTTGCAATAACTTGCTCTGAAATCTCATGTCTATCAGTTCACTACATAGTACCTCAGTTTCTTCATCTATAAAAATGGGTATAAGGAGCCCTGTAGCCCTGTGCTGGGCATGGTGGCTCACACCTGTAATCCCAGCTACTGGGGAGGGTAAGGTAGGAGAATTGCTTGAACCCAGGAGGCGGAGATTGCAGTGAGCCAAGGTTGTGCCACTGCACTCCAGCCTGGTTGACAGAGCGAGACTGTCACACACACACACAAAGCAATCCCTGTCCTGAATTCAGAAATCATATAAATAAAGGTTATTTAAAATATGTTCACAAGACACAAGGTACAATATCATCCCAGTTGCTACAATGCAGCTATTTCCCCTGGGGTGAATTTATAGGAAATCATATTTTCCCAGCAAACGCATGCACAGGCATGTCATGGATGGTTGCTGCTCCTAAGAATGAAGGCTTACTGAGAGCCCTCCTGTTGCTTCAGCATAAAGTCAGTCCATCAGGTCTCCACAGTGGCTCCCGGGTCTTGCTCTGCCCACATTACAGATTAAGAGCAGTTCCCACATTGGCTCACTGCCGTGTGGTTGGGGTTGGTGAAACCAGGATTCAAAATTAGTTCTTGGCTGAATTCATTAAACCATGGCCACCCTTCTGTGTTGACGAGATGCCCAAAACAGAAGCCAGTCTGTTTGCCCGACTATAATATGGGCATGGCATCCCTTCTCTGCTCATATGCACATCAATCACACTCTGTTCTACAGGTCAGAGTTCGTACGTTGGAGTCTGCCCTGTTCAATAATGTGAGCAAATTTCAGAATCTACTTCAGTTTTTGGTGCCTCCCATTTAAAACTGCTTTGATTCAAGCAGGATTCTCCGTATAGAAACTCATCCCTTTATTTAAAGCATACTGTACCGTGGGGCCTTTGTCTCCTGGTGGTCCAGAAGGGCCCTAGAAACAAACAAACAAGTATGTAAGCAAAGTAGAAATGACATGCTGATGTAAACAAGCTATGGTGTTTATTCCTTAGACAGGTCCTCAGTTGTCCCAGAAGGAGTTACTAACCTCCTCCTACCTTGAAGCCACCCTGCCATACCCTCTTACCACCTACCCACCCACAAATGTTGCCATGAAAATCTCTCTGGAAGCTCCTCCACTTGCCCCTCAACTGATGCCACCCTATCATCATCCCTGCATAGCTCCTGACACCTGGGCCCAACTCTACTTTGTAGCTCTAGTGTGAGGTTGAACCCGGCAGCCCCGACTTCCCTGTATTGCACCCCCTTGGACATGTACTGGCTCTTTCTGCTCAGGAAAGGATGGTCATGATAACGACCACATTCCCCAGCCATAGCCTTAGTGGCTGAGGCTGCAGTAGTCAAGCTCCCTTCTCCAACAAGGGGTGCATGCACACACACACACGCACACACGCGCGCGCACACACACACGCACACACGCGCGCACACACACGCGTGCACACACACGTGCACACACACACGTATACAGACACACAGACATGGGCCTGGCATCCTCCACAGTGCCCAGTTCTTTGTCCAGACAGAATTTGGCTTCTAGATATCATGCTTAAGATGCTGTTCATTGACTGACTAGAAGGCTTTCACATGCAGTCCCAAGTCTTGCAGCGAATGGGATCGTCCCTTGCCCCTGAGGCTTTGCTATGCTTGTGCATTTCCACGAAGACTCTGTCCTGCCTTTCTGCCTGGAAACATTCTTGTCGCCCTCTGGTTCTCCTTTGAGAAATCCTTGCCTGTGGAGAGCCTCCTCTGGCTTCTCCCAGGGTGCTCACTGGATAGTCTCCGCCCCTGCACGCACCCTGCCTAAGACTGAAAGTCCAGCATTGTTACTGCCTGTTGGCCTATTTCTCTTCACTGAATGGACTGAATGCTCCCATGAGGTGGCTGCCAAGTCTGCATTCTTACCATGCTCTCTCCACACTCAGCAAGCGCCGTGTGCATTGCAAGAACATAGCAGACTACAGCACAGCAAATAGCATTTGATCAAAATGAAAAATTTAAAGCACAAGGAGAACTTGAGAACCAGTGCCAATCATCCTTTCTTTTCACTGATGATCAAACTAAGTCCAGAGGAGAGAGAGAGATGTGCCCAAGACATGCCAGGAATCACTGGCCAGGATGAGGTTAGTCTCACATTCTGCCCTCAGTCCCATGTGCCCTGCATCTCCCTGTAGCACAGACCATGAGAATGTCCTTAGGTATTCCCGAGAGAGCAAAATGATTTCACACCAATGCCAAGGTTCCTGCAGTATGGTGGCAGGGGTAATCTAAAAGCCTATCCATTAAATATGCCCCAGAGCAGTCTAATATAAAATAGAATAAGCAACATTTTAAGTGTGTAGTTGGGCACTAGAGAAAGTAAAGAAAATCTCCAGAGGTCTAGAGAAAGAGACAACTGAGAAGCAGTGCCCTAAATCTACACAGACCTGCCCTGGAGGGGAGCAGGACTCTGAGAGCTGTGCGGGGACGGGAAACGAGGCTGGAGGCCCTTTTGATCAGGAAGTTGAAACTCAGAACAGTAAGTAAAGTCAAATCCTTCAGTAGGTTATAGCAGGGGTCCACCGGCTTTTTCTGTAAAGGGACAGATAGTAAAGTGAAGGGGTAGAGAAGAAAATGATGTCAAGGAAGCTCACGCGCTCACCCATCTTTGTCTGGGATGCAGGTGCATGATGACGGAAGCCTCCTCTGAGAACTCACCCTCAAGGCCCTGCCCTCACAGGCATCTGGGAGCTCTAAGTCAGAAGTCCTGCAGAACTTCAGCTCAAAGCCAATGTGCCTACACACAAGTCAACGTCTGGGCACCCAGAAAGAAAATCCCCTAGGAGCATACAGAGCAGCGAAAGGATCTTCACAGAAAGATTCCCAAAGGCACAGAACTGCAATCTCAAATTACAAGGCTGTTCACCACAAGGACATAACGAGTGGTAGAACTGAGTTTCCATGAACTTTGGAGAATGGGGTGGTCAGATACAGGCAATAAAAAAGGTCTATTAAAATGATTATATATAGAGGAAAAAAAGAAAGAAAACACAGAGAAAATAACATGGCATTATCCAGAAAGATCTGGTAGGTATGAAAAGAGCCAGAGTACATTTTTAGAAATAGAAATGTAGTCATTAAAATAAAAAAAAATTGTAATAACCAGATTAATTTGAAACTAATATAAAATAGGAATTTCCCAGAATAATTGTCTTTAAGAATCATGGCAAATGTCATTTCCTGAAGAACCTACGCAGACTGGCAACTGAACTAATATATATATATATTTCTTAAGACACACAATGATCATGACTGAACAGTGCAAATCACAGTAAATTTCTGAAATTATTCATTTTTCCCTCTTGACCAAATGAATGATAAATCACCAGAATGTAGCACATTTGCTTCTCTCTTTCTCTTGAAATCTCCCACCATTTCTCAGAATTCTATCTCATTCCAGAAATGGCTGAAAGAGTCATACGCACACACAGGCAGGTCTGGCTAGGGAAACAGAGATGAATGAATAATTCACAGCTGCACAAAGGGGACTTCCAGCTATTGGTCTATATGCCAGGAGTGGTCCTATCTGCTCCATACACAGATCGTCTCACTTTAACCCCAATCAGAGGCCTACAAACTGGGTATTATCAACATTTCATTGCTATAGATCGAGAAACTAAAGCTAAAATTCATTAAATAGCTTTCCTAAGGACAAGCAGAAAAAATGATGGACTCAGCATTCCACCTCTAGTCTATTTGACTCAGAAGCCAGTGCTCCCCTCATTCTACCTCACTGCTTCTGTCACGGTGTAGGTCAGTGGTGCACATGGGCCACCATACCTGCATTTGAATTGTGTTCCTTTCACAGTAGTTCCCAGGGAGGATGGATATGTATTCCTTAAGGAAAGGGGGTGAGGGATGGTTTGTTATTGGCCTGGGAAATGTCATGTCATTTGAGAGTCACCCTTTGTTTTCAAGTTAAATCCCAGAATCCACTTTAAGCATTTAACTTGTTTACCATGCCAGGCTCCAAATTATCTTCTTATGTCATTTAATAGAAAATCCACATTGAAGGATGTGTTTTTAAATTAAAGGTCTTCATTTCAAATCTTAGCTTATCAATCATCAGCTGTTTGACCTTAAGCAAGTTACTTAGACAGCTTCTCTGACCTTCACTTTTCTCAGCTGTAATACAAATCTAGAGTATCACCTTGCCTTGTGTTATCAGAAATAAAAGAAGATACCACAAGTAGTGAAGCAGGCAGTGCCCAACCATAAAAGCCTTTCCCATGTCTATCCTGTTAGTTTACTTTAAGAATGATAAAGGTGTGTTGAAGAAGGGGATTGTACAAAGACTTTCTAAAGTCATTCCTATATCTGAAGCTCAAATATGTTTTCAACAATTACAACCCTCTTCTCTGAAATTACGGCCTCTGATGTGTTTGTTCAAGAGTCATTTTACCCTAATGCCCAGATTTGGGCCTTTGATACCAGTTTCCATTAAGAGAAACTACTATGACTTCTTGAAGAAATGACTGATCAGAGACCTGGACAACAAATGTACACAACAAACCTAGAGCAAGGAAAGCATCAAAGACTGCTAAGTTGTGTCAAAGGTAATCAGGATCAACTTAAATAGACCTCCATTGGCAGAAGACAAGACAAACTGAGCATCAAAAGGAAGACTAGCTGCAATAATTTAAAACACATCTAATGTGTTTATATCCCCAAGTTCAAAATTATTCTTAGAACAAACAACAACAACAAGCATCTAATTGGTCCTCTTTGCAAGATGCTAGGGAACCAAGTCATTATTTGAAAACAAGGGAAAGACTTTAAGCATTTATATTCTGCCTTCCATATGTCTTGTACCACTGCGTATCCAAAGGGTGCTTTAGGGAACATTTCTCTATATAGAACTATTCCAGCTAATAAAGAAAGAATGAACAGAACTAGAATAGCGCCACTTTGCAACCCTTGATGTACTAATTGGTGGGAGCATTAGACACCACAGGGTGAATGCATCACAAAGAGGCTCCACCAGACATCATGTGCCTCCTACTGGGTGAACACTCTACCTGTGAAGTCTTGCCAACAACATCAAACCAGAATCCGATCAAGCCTCTAGGTCTGAGTACCAACTAAGCTGAACCACAGGGACAGAGGAACGCATTGAGCTATTACATTAACAAATTCCAGATGGTGGAAAATTCTATGAGACTAAAAAAAAAAAAAAAAATTGAAACATCCAATCAATTGCTATACGTTTATTTGGATCTTAAAGAAACAAACAAAAAGCACAGAAGCATGACATGTATGAAATAATTAGAAATTTGAACACTGACTAGATATGTGATGGTGTTATGGATTTTTAAGGGGTATATTATAAAATTGTGGTTCTGTTTTTTAAAATTCTTATCTTTTAGAAACATATACTGAAATATCTACAGACAAAATGTGTCTGGAATTTGCTTCAAAATAATGGAAGGTAGTGGATAAGAGGAAAACCATGGTCATTGGCTGTGGGATCCTGGCACTAGTTGTGGCTATATGGGTGTTTATTTTACTATTCTACTACTTTTAGTATATTTGAATTTCTCCATAATAAAAACTTATAGATATACATACAGAGACACACATACATACACACATATACCACACATATGAATGCACTTACATCTGAATACACTTACATCTGATGCACATGCACAGTCATGCTTTGGTGTTTTCTGACAATTATCGTAGTTTTACAAAACTGAAAGTCCCATATGGCTTTAGATATGTGAAACACGTTCTCTTCTTTCTCTGCTATCAGGCTGTTCTAAAAACCAGCTTCCTTTCTCTAAGAATTGATCCCCTCTTTGTTCCTCCTACCAAAGGCACAGATCTGAAAATAAAGTGAACTTTTATTCTCTGTAATCTTTGATCTGAGTGCCT